TCATCCCATTTCCCTTACAAAGCAAGTATAGCTGCAAAATATTTCAGTCTCGACTTCCCTGGGGGGGGGGGAGTGGGTNAGGCTGGGAGCTGCCATGATGCTTTGGGGCTTCACTGCCCCGGAGTCAGAGGGGGGACCTTAAACTATGATTCCCTTTCAGCCCAGGAAGTCATTGTTCACCACTGGTGAACAATGCAAAATGCACTCTGGAGAAATTAACAACATGCTGCAGGATAGTGGAGATGCTTTTATTAAGGCTGCACAATGGATTGAAACTTTTTTTTTTTAAAAAAAACAAAACCCCACACCCCAGAAGCTTATGGGCTTTCATACAGTTCCCACAGAAACAAAACATCCGTGAAACCTTAAAAGTTTTACTTTACAATTCTAAAAGAGAATTTTCTGCCCCATTTAAGAGGGGGCGATCCGGGTCTCTTCCACTGTGAATAGGAGAGGAGGCAGGGTGGATAAGGGGGCAAAAGAGACCCTGAGGCTTAAGTGGCATCTGAAGGATATTTTTAATAACATTTATATTTTAAGTAACACCCAGCCAGGGAACTTTTTTCTCTCTTCACCACAATTAGGAACTGCTTTGTGTTTTTTTAAAAAAAGATTTCAGGATAAAACGTTAAGATTTTTAGGACTCCTCTCTGTGGGGACTCACGAATGTATGGCAACAATTCTCTCATTTCAAGGAACAGACTTTCCACACACCAAACTCTGTTGCGGTTTGTCACCCGGAAAGTGAATCCAGTAGTCCGAGCACCTGGTAGAGAAGTTACCCAAAGCCCCTTCCCGGATCCACCCGGAGCCCCACGGGGATCCTGGGCCGGGCGAGGAGGGGGCAGATCCAGCCCGGGGTCCCCCCTGTGCCCCCCTGGAGGGAAGGAAGGGATCCACTCCCTGCAGGCGACGCCAGAGCCGAATCTCCCCAAGGAAAACCCGGGAAGCCGGAGAGGCGGATCCGCAGCTACCTTTCTCCTGGCGGGGGGGGGAAAGCTCTCCTGGCGGGAGGGGCGCCCCAAAGGCCGGAGGGAGAGCAGCCAGACCTGCCCCGAGCGGGATCCAGAAGCCTCTCCCGAGGGATCCAGCGCCGATCCTGCCAGGGCGAACAAGGAGCGAAGCCGAGATCCAGCGAGTGGGCGGGTCGAGGCGGGGGCGGGGCTTCTGCTCTCCTCTTCGGCTCCGCCTCCGCTTTGCAGCCCCGCCCATTGGCCTCCTCTTCTCCCCCCTCTCCCTCTCCTTCCTGCTTCCCAGCTAGGGCTTCTGTTCCTCCGCTGGGCGTCCGCGTCCAGGGTTCCTCTGCCCATGCGAACAGTGCCCTGCTGTGCCCGGACTGAGCTGCTTCCTAATGCAGCATCTGGGCGTAACCTGAAGCGCCGCGATGGCCGCGAAAGAGTCACGGAGGGAATGGCGAGGATTGCGGCGCTTCCTGCAGGCTGGAGAAGAGGGCGGGGAGGGGACGCGAACCCGGGAAAGAGCTGCTCCCAGGGGAGGGGGGAGGGAGGGGGCGGCTCCAGACCATCCGGGGTCCCCTCCGCGGCCGAGACGGGAGGGAAAGAGAAGCGGGGCAGGGTCCTCCGTGCAGCCGAGGTTGGGGGAGCGCCTGGGGGAGGAACGGGAAGGAGTCCCGAGCGGATCCCTTCTGCATCCCGAAGATCCTGGAAGTGCAGCTGCGCAGGTGTCGAGGTGGGAACAGACGGAGGGGGCGCCCCAGCGAATCCCTGGAGGGAGGAAGTGGGAAAGAGCCGGGGGCAACAGGAACCGATGCCCTTGGAGGAGGGGTCTCCTGCAGCTGCCCCAGAGTCCCCCAGAGGACCCGTGGACGGGGGGGGGGAGCAGATTCCCCCAGGGCCCCCACTCGCCTTTGCCTCCCTTCTTCCCAGAATCGGACAGAGGTCACTGCTTGCCTCTCAAAGACAAAGACTGCTGGACTTCCTCTAACTCGGGGGGGGGGGCACCCAATTTTTACACAGGCTTAGAAACAGTTTGTAGGGCCCTGAGGAGACCCCTTCTTCCCTAGTCCCCCCCATGACACTTAATTCGGATTTTGGCCCCTGAAGTACATTTGAACTTTTGAATATATATTAAGCATATCTGAACTCTTCAGAAGCCCCCCCCATTATCAAATGTAACCTTTAGATGCCTTCAGAGCAGCTCACCTGTCTGGGGGCTGCAGAGTAGAAACCCAGCCTAACTCACCTCTGGAGGATTCCATTTAGTGAATGCTAGCAAGACTCCTTGTGGCAAGACCATCACTGGACCCACAATCTAAGAAACACAACGTTAAGCTGCTGTGTGTAGAATGTAATTTTATTTACTCTGCAGTCCAAAATATTTCTCTTTCTGAGATACAAAAACAATTAGGAGCATTTAGAGCAGCACCCGGGTTTAAGGAAGAACCGGAAGGCAAAGCAGGTCAGTCCAATGAGAGCCAGGAGACCCTCTCTGGCCACCTTGCCCCAACTGCTGTCCTCCAGATGTTTGGGACTTTGACTCCCACATCTGCATATCACCAGATTGGGAAAGGTCCTTCTGGGGCATAACAGGCCACACTCAGTTGGAAAGAATTGGGTGGGGGAGGTGGGGCAAGGGGGTCTCTTCATAGAAACCGGTGTTTTTTTATAATCTTGGTAACTTTTAAGATGTGTGGACTAAAATCCCCAGAATTCCCCAGGGAGCATGCTGGGAATTGAAGTCCACGCATCTGAAAGTTGCCAAAGTTGAAAACCTCTGACAGAATCACATCCCTTGGCTTTCTGACGAATTGTTTGGGAACTGCTGCTTCACCTGGAAAGCAGCTCCTTTTTCATGGCGGGGACCTCCCACTTCTGGAACCTTCTACAAAAAGAGGTGTGAATTGCCACTGCCCTGCAGATACAGATGTATATATTACATACATACATACACATTTGGAATACTGCATCCAGTTTTGGTCACCATGATGTAAAACAGATGTTGAGACTCTAGAAAGAGTACAGAGAAGAGCAGCAAAGATAATCAGAGGACTGGAGGCTAAAACATATAAACAACGGTTGCTAGAATTGGGAATGTCTAGGCTCATGAGATTAAAACATACCATGTATTTCTTCACAGGCTAGCATGGCTTCTTACAGTTCTGTAAAAACAATAAGCTCTTTTTCCCACTGACTCTGCCTGTGGGGGGTCAGCAAGGAAGGTCACAAACGGTGATCACACCTCAGTGTTGCACTTTGTAATGTAGTAATTGCAAACCAGGCACGTAGCGCAAGTGGGGCTGTAATGCCTGCAACTTCTGGGATCAGCCATACGTCCATTTTTTTTTAGCACCATCCGGATTCCGAACGGTGGCTGAACAAATGGACATGAGCTGAGGACTTCTTGTACTTTAATCCAAACACTGCAGGGACATGTGGGGGCCAAAAATGAGTTGTTTATCTTAAAGAGATATTCATAATGTAGAGTGTAGCTGCTTCATTTTGGCCATCACGATCGCTTAGCCTTAATTGTGCTTTTTGTGACCGTGAGGATAAAATATTGGAGGGAAGGGGCTGCAATCACTTGTGCATCTTATAAAGGCCAAGGGATGTAAATATAATAATAATCATAACAACAATAATAATAATATTGGAAGGGACCTGTCGAGCCCTGCGCGGCCGTCCAGACTGGCGGACAGGCCACCGTTCAACCCATCCACCTTACCCTGGCTTCCAGGCTCTCAGAACGACGCTGGGAAGCGACCCGGCTTCCAGACGTCCAGGCCGGTGCTTGGGAGCAAGCCGCAGCGTCGCCGGCCCCTCGGGAAGCTGTCGCCGTTGCCTCCATGGCCTGCGCCTTCCTCTGACGTCAACTGCAGGCGCTTCGCAGGGCCGACATATTAGGAGGCAGGGAGGCCGGCGGGCAGTTGTGAGAGGCAAGCCCAGCAAGAGAACAAGCTGGGGGAGCAGCCGGCTGAGGCCTTGCCGCTCCTGGGAGTAAAGCAGCCGGCTTGACTGCTCCTGCAAGTAAAGCAGCCGGCTGAGGCCATGACTGATCCTGCAAGTAGCATCACAGGCTTGCAGCATTCTGGACATGGGGCAGGGTGGAAAAGGCGAAAAGTGCAGGGAATGTAAATGCTGGTCTGCGGGGTGGGGCTGCATGCTGGTTTGAGGGGTGGAGATGCTAAGGGCGTGGTTAATAAGGGGGTGGGGCTGGAAAGGCAACGTGGGTGGGGCTGTTGCGAAGCCTATGTAAGGCACTGGGAGCCAGCGTCTCCCAGTGCTGACTTTATTTTGAATAGAGTGAATTAAACTGCTATTCGTCTAGCGTACCGGCTACTGGCTGTTTTGTGAAGCACTGAAGCCGGACGGTTCTGACAGGACCTTGGAGGTCGTCTAGTCCAAACCCTATCCCAGGTCCTTGGTAAGGACTTGATAGGTAGACAAAAATGCCAGATCCAGTCTGAACATCTTGAGATGATTAATAATAATAATAACAATAATAATAATATTGGAAGGGACCTTGGAGGTCATCTAGTCCAACCCTCTGCTCAGGCAGGAAACCCTATACCATTTCGGACAAATGGCTATCCAGTCTCTTCTTAAAAACTTCCAGTGTTGGAGCATTCACCACTTCTGGAAGCAGGTTCCACTGGTTAATTGTTCTAACTGTCAGGAAGTTTCTCCTTAGTTCTAGGTTTCTTCTCTCCTTGATCAGTTTCCATCCGTTGCTTCTCGTCCTGCCTTCAGGTGCCTTGGAGAAGAGCTTGACTCCCTCTTCTTTGTGGCAACACCTGAGATATTGGAACACGACTATCATGTCACCCCTCGTCCTTCTCTTCATTAAACTAGAGTCTGCTATGGACTTTTTGATGCATTTTTAGCTGTGATTTACAATGAAAAAAGTTTCTCACACTCTGCACACTTGTGAGGCCACTCCCCTGTGTAATTTCTGTTGTGCCTGCGAAATGCTGAAGGTTGGGCAAAATATCTTCCACTTTCCAGACATTTTATGTTTTTTCTCCAGTGTGGTTTCGATAATGCTTCAAGAGAGTCCTTTTTTTAGTAAAACATGTATCGCACTCGGAGCATTTATGGGGCTTCTCTCCTATGTGGATTTGGCTGTGACATCTAAGGTTATATGGTTTAGCAAATGCTCTCCCACAGTCTAAACATTTGTAGTTTTTTTCGCCTGTGTGAATTTTCATATGACTCCAGAGGGTTGATGTGGTACGATAAAAACTTCCACACTCGTTGCATTGATAGGGCTTCTCCCCTGTGTGGATTTTCTGATGTCTCCAAAGTACATCCTTATAAGCAAAAGATTTTCCACACTCTGGGCACTCGTATGGCTTCTCTCCTGTGTGAACCCTCAGATGCCTTCCAAGGTGCTGTTTCTGGGTAAAGCATTTCCCACATTCCCCACATTTGTACGGCTTCTCCCCTGTGTGGATTCTCTCATGAACCTGAACCTCACTTTGTGCAAAAAAACTTTTCCCACACTCCCGACATTCATAAGGTTTCTCCTCTTGGTGCCTCTTCTGGTGCCTCTCAAGTTCAGCAGAATTTACAAATCGTCTCTCACATTCTGGGCATTCATAGAGTCTGACTACAGTGTGAAGACTCTGATGTCGCACCAGGTTTGATTTCAAGGTGAAACATTTCCCACATTCCAGGCACTTTTCGTTTTTCTCCCCTCTGTGTGTTTTCTCATGACTCCAAAGAGATGAACTCAAGGTGAAACATTTCCCACACTCAAAGCATTTGTAAGATTTTATTCCTACATGAACCTTCTCATGAATCCAAAGATGTGCCCTCTGAGAAAAGTTCTTCCCACATTCCCAGCACTTGTAAGGCTTCTCCCTTGTGTGAACCCTCTCGTGGTTTCTGAGGGTGGCTTTTTCACTGAAAAATTTCCCACATTCCAGACATTGATACGGTTTCTCTCCAGTGTGGATTTTCTGATGTCTAAGAAGGTTTGACTTTTGACCAAAGCATAAATCACATTCCTCACATTTATGGGGTTTTAATCTGGGGGGGCTTCTGAGATCTTTGGCACCTTTTCCAAAAAAGGATTTCTCACCTTCCAAACCTTGACTGGATCCGCTTCCCACATGGACCTTCCAGTGGGTCAAAAGGAGAGACCGGCGAGCAAAGGATTTCCCACACTCGGAGCATTCGTGGGTACTCTTGTGGTTTTTCAGAGTGCTGCTTGTGTCTGATGGGGGATCCAAGAGCTTCCCGCCCTCCATGAGTTCTGGCAGCTGCTGCCTTGCGCTGAGTTTCTACTAGCTCTTGAAAGTTGACTTGCAGGTGAATCTTTGGTCAGAGTTGTTTTCCTGCTGGTGGAAAATGAAAGAAGAGGAGAATAATGTTTCCTTTTGAGAATGGTAGAGAATCACAAAATCTTAGCCTTGGAAGGGACCATGAAGGTCTTCCAGTCCACCCTCTGACCAGGGGAGAGGTCCACATTACACCCCAGACAAAACCACCATTGATTCCATCACCCCACATCCCTCGGAGGCAAACTCTCCTGCTGTTCAATGACTCTATCTTTTCCTCCTTGATTCTCGTCCTATGACGAGGTGAAAAAGAAGCCCTAAAACTTTAGGTAGGAGGAAGGCCCAGGCAAGGGACGTGGGCGTGTCTGGGGGGTAGGGGAGATGCGGGAGACCAGGCTCAGGTCAGCCATGTGTTCGGGGGGTGCTGAAGTGGGATGCACAGCTGCAGCCACCCCTGGAAGCCTGAGCTGCCCCATCCAGACCATGGAAAGCAGCCCTGATGGACAGTAATGCCGGGGCTGGGCCTTAAGTGGAGGCCTGGGGTCACTGAACCCAGACCTGGACTTCAGCCCACTGTCACCTCAGCCACTGAGAAATGAGGCCTTAATCCCCACAACGGAGGCCTTTGCAGCCTTGCGCCATTCTCCAAGTCACGTGTTCCATACATGTTTCCAAGCAAAATATCTCAAAAGCATATGTAAGCTTCTCCAGGACCTTCTTAAGTCAAACGTGGCCTGTGCCAGGACTCACAAATGCCTCTCCTGCCCACTTCAGGCAACCCCACATTCCTATCAGGGACTCATCTGCTTAACGACATGTGAAATTGCTTAACAACCACACTCTCAGGAGTAGAGGATCGCAGTCACTGAGCCAAACTCTCACGTGACATCTTTTTTTTTATTATTTTAATATTTTTTTATTTTTTAAACCAACAAAACAAAACATAACACACATACACACACAGTGTATACTCCTCCCTTTTTTTTTAACAGCATGGACATGCCCAGGTGTGAAAAAATACTGGACTAAAATAAGAAGA